TGGGACTGCAAGAGACGAAAAATGTCAGCGAACTGCTTGTTGGATTCCTGGGCAGACTCCTTGATCTGGCTCATGATTTGCTGGTGCTGTGCTTCCTGCGTCGTTGCGATTCTGGTGATGTCTCCGCCCTGGCGCGTAACAACCGCCTCGAGTTGGCCGAATCTGGCCTCATTGACTTGCTGCTGCTTTTGCACAGCTGCCGCTACGAAATCCTGCATTTCACGTTTCAACTGCTCAGACCGATCATTCAGGGGACCTGGCATGGCGACATCCGCCGATGGGGCCGGTGAGCACTGGGGCACAAACTTTGACGATGTGGCCTTGGCCTGTGTGGCTGGTTTCTGCTTAGGGGTAATGCTCACTAAGGCCTGGTTGATGGACACTGTTTCAGCGGAGGGCTCAGTGGCGGAACCTACAACCGCAACTAAACCTCCTTCCCTATGAGCCGGGCGCAAGCTTACAACCTTTACTTCCCACCCCCACCCTTTCAAGGCATCGCGAAGGGTTGACGCTGTCGTGTCAGCCGGCAGGCCTCGGACGAAGTAAAACCTGCTACACTGGATCTCCCAACCTGGCTTGAGAGCATAGCCAGGATTGATTTCGCTTAGCAAAGCTTTCAGCTCAGACGGCTTTGTGACCAGGCCCAAGCGCGTTTTCACACAAGCCAGTCCTACGACAACATGTGAATGTTTCTGTTGTGCCAACTGGGCATCCTGCATCGTCGCACCTTCTGGCAACCAAGCAACTGCCTCATCAGGAGATTCTTCAATCTTACGACGAAGGAAAACCCCACACTCGCCGCATGAAGCCCTTAGCTTGCGATACGTAGCCTCCTTGATGCGGCACGTGGCCTGGAAAGCATCAGCATCCCAGGTAGGTTTCGGTAGCCATCTCTTGGTGAACCAGTTCTCAGGCGTATCAACGCAGTCTTCAAACAAAAGGCTCTTTAAGGTCTTAATGGGGTTTTCCCAGAGACGCTTCCAATCAGACTCAGACATAAAGTGCTTGGACACATGGATAACAACCTCAATGTTTGCAGGCGCTTCCATCTTGACAATGGGTGTATCTTTCAACTGCACCTTGACATCTCCTAGCTGAGCAATCCAACCCTTGACACGGTGAATACCCCCTTGCTTGTCTGCTGCCATGCACGTGATGCTTTCCGTTGACATGGGGAGAGCTGGCGCCTCAGGAGAAAGCACCACGACTGCAAGTGCTGATAGCGACCACTTGTCAGAGACACCTGCTAACAGACTGGAGGCCGTATTGGCATCCATGGCTGCAATCCCAACTGCATTACGCTTCACGTCTTTTGGCAACAGAACGGTGAGCGACTCACCTACAGCTGATACCCAATCCTGCGCACGCAAGCACACTTCAACGGACCTGGCCTTTTTGGATAGACCTCGAGCGGCTTTATCGACTACATCGTGACTGCTGCTTGAAGTGGTTACTGCGTTGGACCAGGGATCAGATCTATCCCACGGGTCGGGCGATTTAGTGTGAGGCTGCAGAGCCTTCTGCTTCGCATGAAACACTCGGGATTCTCCGGGAGTTAGAATGCGAAACTTTGCCACGTTAGCCAACTGCTTAATCCCACGCCACTGCTCTACCGGCTCGGGAATCTGCAACATACTCTCTAGCGAGTCTGACGCAACACTTGCCCTAAGCAGTTTGACATGCTCACTCAGCACTTCCTTAGGGACCCCGTGTTCAAGCAGAATGGCTTCAACAGAAGAGCCGTTACCGAAAAGCGCATGCATCAGTCGGTTGCGGGAAGCTGCAAGCACGTGCAGCAGGCCACTAGAAACCCCTAGAAAAAACCCAAAGAAACCCGGACAAACGAAGGGAAGAAACACAACTTTGTCCAAGATTGCATCCAAGCTTGCATCGCGACACTGCTCGAGGATCTTCGGCTGCGGGTACCGGGACGACTGACACGAATCCTCTGCCCGGCGGATTCCTTCCTGGTCCTGGATCTTGGCCTTCACGCTCTCGATGGTGTCAGACGCCTCCACTTCCAGTGTGATGGTTCTGCCGGTCAGCGTCTTGACAAAGATCTGCATGGCTGCGCAAAAATGGCTGCTCCCTGCTTGCTGCTTGAGCCATCGCCATTTTGTCTAGGGTTTAAGGGTTTAGGGTTTAGGGGGTTTAGATCTAGAGACGGGTCTTGTCTAAGGAATGTTTAAGGGGATCTTGAAGGTACGGGCATACACTGGTGCTTTCAGTTAGAACGTAGGCCTGAACCATAATATGGGGGCCTTAATAATTAGAACAGGGTTTCGGGGCACATTATACCATATGATGTCTAATAAGGAACCCCCCAAAATAGTATTGGTAATTCTCAAGGCTCCTACACCGTAAATAGCAGGATCCTGATTACAAGGACCCGAAACAAAAAGGTCCCCCTAATCCTCCCGTATTCGCTGTGCAAACTCCACCCCTAAACCCTATTTTTCGAAAAATTTACGAACCTCCCATAGTCCATACTAACCTAAACCCTAAACCCTAAACATCCCTTTAAAGGGGCCCTTTAGCTTATAAATTAGCTATAAAGTCTTCGCGCGAAGCCCTCAGAGCCCTTAGCCCGGGCCTCCGCGGAGCTGCGCAGCGCTCCGGGCCTTCGGAGGCGGCTTCCCAGAGACTCCAATACCCCCTTAATTAAGGAATCCTTTCAGGGATCTATAAGGGATCTATAGGGTTTAGGGGATTCTAATATCCCTTAAGTAAGGAATATACCCTTAAATTAGGGTAGGGCCCTATGATTTAAGGTATATATTCCTTAATTAAGGGATATTGGAGTCTCTGGGTTGGGGGCTGAAGTGGTGGCCTTTAAAGGGGCCCTTCAAGGAACAGGCTCTTAAAGGCGCCCTTAAAAGGGACCTTAAAGGGGCCGTTTTATGGGATACTGTACTGGGCTGCGGGTTACTACAGTAAAGGGTTCTATAATACGCGTTCAGGGTTTATTCTCTCGTTCTGATTAGGTGTCCTCTTTTTCGATCCTGAGGGCTGTTTCTGAGACTCACACTGGGACGAATGCAGGCAAGCTTTAAGTTCTGTGGGTTTAACTTTGAAGGCCTGGAGGTCGGCTTGGAGCTTGTGGCTTCGGCAATTGTAAAGGTCAACAGGTAAACACAAAATGTTTGCTGTCTACAACGGGCACACTGCTACTAGTAGCAGCTCATACCGTACCGGTTCCACGTCCAACGGCTGCATTGATATGATGTGGATAGCACTGACAAGGCCGAATGGATCAAACGACCATAGGGTAGCGGCCGAACGTGTGGGATTTTGGGGATCTGAATGTGGAACAACGCCGGTGATTTTCGCTCCTAGTTGGTCTAGAGTCTAAAGGTTGCAGTGTCTCTGGTCCCGCCCTGTGCGGACCCTGTGAGCCTCAGCTCACCTGAATTCGAAGCCATCTTAAAGCTACTGGCAACTGCAAGGGGGCACCGCGGCCTCAGCAAGGCTCACAGTCTGCCACTGCCGTCTCTCTGCAATGACAGCAGGATGATGGCATAATTGTACGGAATTTAAACGTGGCCATCGCCGTCCTGTAGACCTTCAAAGCGGCACAGGAGGTCGGTGCAAGCCAAAGGGAAAACTGTCACTGTAGCGGCCTTCGCCACTGCTTACACTTACACAACTTCCTACAGCTGCACTTTTCTCAGGCAGCTTTCCCAGCCTTCACGACGGGGACGAGGCCACCGGCCACCGCCGCCATGATGGCCGCGGGGATCAGTGCTGCCTGTGCGCCCCATGCAGGGTGCGTCTCCATGGCCGCCACGCCACCCAGGCCGAAGAAGAAGATGCCGGAGCCGAAGAGGAAGACCTTCAGCAGGGTGGGCGGCTCGGCACCGTCCGTCTGCGCCCTGGCCCACAAGCCCAGGCCCACACCGAAGTCGGTCAAATAGCCAGTGAAGTGCGTCGTGCAAACGGGAAGGGAGCTGCATCGACGAGTGATGCCATTCTGGATGCCCTGCGAGAAGGCCCACAAGAACAGGCACTCGGAGGCATCATCATTGGCAATGCCGGTTTGGGCCTTGCAGTAGTGCACCAGGCAACCGAACATGACGGCGAAGGCTGCTGCCAACAGGTTGGGCGAGTAGCGCCCCTGGTAGATGGCCTCCTGGTCACACTTGCTGAAGCCGGCCACAAAAGATCCGGTGGCAAAGGAGAGCATCAGGTGGAAGAACTTGATGCCACCGTTCATGATGAGACGTCCGGTGTGGCTGGTGTTGCCCGTCTGGTGGGACACGGTCATGCCCATGTCGATGATGGCCAGGGCGTTCACGAAGCCAGACGTGAAGCAGAGAATGTTGGAGATCATGACGAAGCTGCTGTAGTCGGGGCGCTTCTCCGCTGGACCCGCTGCTGCCGGCTGTGCTTGTTCGGTGTATGCAAAGGCACCGCAGGCGATCATCAGCGCCAAAGAAACGAACAGGGCGTGGTCGGCGATGGTCCTGGCCATGCCGGATGACTCCTGTACGACTGGCTCTGTGAAGGCATGCTGGCTTTGGAAGCTCCACAGCGCGCAGACGCCAAGTGCCAGGAGTGCAGCGCCGCGCACGCGGCTGCTCCTGGCACGGGTGCTCAACATGGCCGGCATGATGGAGGCTCGACGCCGCCTGCGGGCTGCAAAGGGGAAACAGCGAGCAAAATGCTGCGGATCATCGGCACAGAGGGAAACCGAATAGCAATCTCGACTCTAAGAGATGTGTTGGACGAGTCACAAGTCACAAGTCTGTATAACGATGCAGCAGTGTGCGCATTTTATCGTCGGCTGCTTTCGAAGCGCAACTGGGACGCCGAACACGTGGCATACCACGCGAGGCTGCAACCGGGGGAGAGTGGGGCGATGGAGTACATGACTGCGGGTCTATCGGGGATTGTGGGACTGAAAACAAGTCTTGGAAGGCCTGCAAGACACCGATGGCTTCCGAAAAGTTTCGGGAAACCGTCGAAGCCGAATTATTGTCGCTTGGACGAAAAGGTTCGGCTCAGCCGTCATACTCGCCTTCCTCTTCGTCGAACTCTCCCTCCTCTTCGGCTGTGGCATCCTGGTACTGCTGGTACTCAGAAACCAAGTCATTCATGTTGGACTCAGCCTCCGTGAACTCCATCTCGTCCATGCCTGGGGCTGCGTCTGCAACTATAAGGATCGAGAACCGGAGACCTCGCAATTCCATCCTTGCTCCACCCCGCTACGAGTAGGCTGATAGCACTAGTTTCCGCTCATGACGCCCGCCTTCACCGGTGTACCAGTGCAGGAAGGCCTTGCGGCGGAACATGGCCGTGAAGTACTCCGCGACGCGCTTGAACATTTCCTGAATAGCTGTGGAGTTGCCGGCGAAAGCCACGGCCATCTTCAATCCCTTCACAGGGAGACGGCATGCCATCTGATACCGTCCCTACTCCAAGCAAACAACGAAACACCTACCTTGAGCATGAAGTCTACAAAAACAAACTTTCCCATCACAGCTGCGCCTTTGGTGGGATGTCGCAGACGGATGCCTTGATGTTGTTGGGAATCCACTCCTTAGAAGCAGCATAGTAGAGAAGAAGAGCATGCATACAGACAGCACCGCCCAATCTTCGAAGGCTCCGCACGTGAACTCCTCACTCCCTCCGGTAAACTGTCTCTGCTTGAACCCCCTTGGCCCTACTAGTAGGTGGCACTTGCACAGAGAGTTCCGGCAACATGAGAAGCTACCTGGCTCAGTCAACCAAACAGGCACGGCATGATAAGAAGGAAGACGTCCGAACGGGGCAGGCGAGACTCCACAAAGTAGGAAGAGTTCTTGTTTTGGACGTTGAGCATCTGCTCATCCACCTGCAAGTATGAATCTTGGGCAAGATGACAAGTACACATGCGTGTGGAGCAGGAGAACGTCGGTCTTCACCCCGCATTACACTTGCATATGCAGAACCATGCATGCAGACTTGAAAGCGTAGTGGGGCCTCTTTCGTGGACATTCGGCCGCGGAAGAGTGCGGCGGCTGTCAAGTATCGTCCGTGTCGAGGGTCTGCCGCGCACATCATGTTCTTGGCATCGAACCTAGATCAACGTCACATGATCATGTGGACCCTGGCTCGTAACGACATCACAAAGCTCCGCAAACCGCAACCGCGGAGCATTTGCTGCGTCAACTCCGGCACGGTCAGGGCACGGTACTGCTGGGATCCGCGGGATGTCAGAGGCGCAAAGCCAGTCATGAAGAAATGCAGACGTGGGAAAGGCACGAGGTTGACGGCAATCTTGCGCAGATCACAATTGAGCTGCCCTGGAAATCGCAAGCAGCAAGTCACGCCGCTCATTGCCGCGGAGACCAGGTGGTTCAGGTCTCCATAAGTGGGAGTCGTCAACTTCAAGGTCCTGAAAATTTGGGGAAGGAAGCAGTAAACCCGATGAGTTTCAGGCCGGCATGGAACTATAAACTACGTAGACATGGCTCCCTTCCTACGGACGGGCACGGCCGAGGCAACATGTGGCAACCTTGTAACCCCCCTTGCTCAAACATCACAGTTAGTCCTGAAGCAAATGTCGTACAATGCTTCATTGTCCAACAAGAAGGACTCGTCAGAGTTCTCCACCAGCTGGTGGAAGCTTAGGACAGCATTGTATGGCTCCACGACAGTATCGGACACCTTGGGCGACGGAATCACGGAGAATGTCTCCATGATCCGATCAGGGTACCTGCAGATGACAGCCGCTGAAACGGCATCTGTGATGCTATGCGCTGCTCGCTTCCCCTGCCTACTGCTGCTCCGCATAGCCCGAAGTACGTATGTACGTATGTAAAAAACACAAACCAAATACATATCTAGAAGATACCCGTAAACCTACATATTAACGTAAATGTACGGTTAGTTACACCTACACACATGTATATATATATATTTATATGTATGTATATGTGTATGTGTATGTGTATGTGTATGTGTATGTGTATGTGTATGTGTATGTGTATGTGTATGTGTATGTGTATGTATATGTATATGTATATGTATGTGTATGTGTATGTGTATGTGTATGTGTATGTGTATATGTATGTATGTATATATATATATATATATATATACGTATGTGGGTGTACACTTTTGCATGCAGGTTTCTGTTTATTTCCTGTAATTACGTGTGTAATTTATATTCCCCAACTATTCCATGTTAAGGCTCAATATGCTTAAAATAGCCATCCGCTGGGAACTCTTCATGCGAGGCACTCCTCGCGCACCTTGGAGATCAAGAGTGTGCCCATACCAGCTCCTCAACCACTCAAGGCAAAACATGCCGAAACACTACACTGTTTCGGGCTTGGGCTTAAGATGACTCAGGTTTTTAAGGCTTCAGGGTCCCGAACCCTTTAAGCTCTTATGCGTTCACCCTGCACAAGCCAGCTCCTGTGCCGCCTCCCAGAGAGTGGCAGAGCTGGAAGCCCTGGAGGCAATCGCAGCCTTCAGCCTCACGAAGAAGGCTGCACGAAAGCTGTTTGATAGGGTCTCAAATAAGGTTTTCGATAGGGTCTCAAATAAGGTTTTCTAGACTTCATAAGGTCTTCAGAAGGGTACTCATAGAGTTTCTATGTAGATCCCTGATCAATAACCCTGCTTCCCGTAGGAAAAGCGAGGTAACCTGGATCAGATTATCAATTCCCGTGTTGGTCTACTGCACGCATGCGTACACGTAGCTGATCCTCTGCATTTCATACAACCCAACGTTGACTATATACATATTTGAAAACAAAATATGCATAAGCACTGTCATCCATGGCCTCTTTGCGCACCACATCCAAGACAGAGTCGATAAGCTCAGCACCCTCGGTGTAATGGCCCTGTCAAGCGGAGGCAGCAACGTTCCCAAGTCTCTCATCATGAGCTGTTTCATCTGGCAACAACATCGCAGTGGGCCTTGGCCCAGTTATTGCCGGCGCCTGTTTGACCGAACACAAAGTTGTCTGGGCGGAACAACTGGCCGAATGGTCCGGCACGAACGCTGTCCATGGTTCCTTTCGGGACGAACGGCGAGTCGACACATGGACATGCGGCTGGCGGCTGGCGTGGAGCACATCCCGGCTATACTTCACCCGAAAGCTGAAACTGCCCCATTAGAGTCCTGGCTCAAGGTCCATCAGAACGGCTCGGGGTACATAGCGTCCGCCGGTGGCTTCGTTGAAGTAGACATTGATCCGCTCCAGCTGAAGATCCGAATCTCCGTGGTAGGTACCTGTCACAGTAGGCTCCGTCGCATGATGTCTTGTTGACCATATCTACGCAGATGAACTGCCTGTTGGGTCGATGCCGTGCTCATCGGCGATGACTTCCCAGAACTTCGCACCAATCTGATTGCCGCACTGGCCTCCCTAAGTTTGACTGACAGCAACAGGTACGCTTTCAACTGCATGCATCAACGACAATCGCCCATCCCCGGACGGATTAAAAGCTCATGACTGCAACAAAGCGACCTGCACGTGCACGAGCTCACGCATGGTAGGAATGCGGAATCGGGAGTTCGAAAGAAATGTCGAGAGGCTGCTGCTTACAGCTGAACACCTTGAGCCAGGCATGGCAAGCAACCCGACATTCCGACAACCGATGCGCCCTCAGGAACGTGCAAGCAGTGGTGGCAAAGACAAGAGAGACCATGGTGGCGATCGCGCCCGTGCATCTTTCGGAGTACTCGGCGTGGTCTGGAGGTTGCAGTGTCTCTGGTCCGACCCTGTGCGGACCCTGTGAGCCTCAGCTCAACCTGAATTCGACGCCATCTTAAAGCTACTGGCAACTGCAAGGGGGCACCGCGGCCTCAGCAAGCCTCACAGTCTGCCACTGCCGTCTCTCTGCGATATTCTGCGATGACAGGCGCATGATGGCATAATTGTACGGAATTTAAACGTGGCCACCGCCGTCCTAGACCTTCAAAGCGGCACAGGCGGTCGGCGCCAGCCAAGGGGAAAACTGTCACTGTAGCGGCCTTCGCCACCACTTCCTACAGCTGCGCTTTCCTCAAGCAGCTTTCCCAGCCTTCACGACAGGGATGAGGCCACCGGCCACCGCCGCCATGATGGCCGCGGGGATCAGTGCTGCCTGTGCGCCCCACGCAGGGTGCGTCTCCATGGCCGCCACGCCACCAAGACCGAAGAAGAAGATGCCGGAGCCGAAGAGGAAGACCTTCAGCAGGGTGGGCGGCTCGGCACCGTCCGTCTGCGCCCGGGCCCACAAGCCCAGGCCCACACCGAAGTCGGTCAAATAGCCAGTGAAGTGCGTCGTGCAAACGGGAAGGGAGCTGCATCGACGAGTGATGCCATTCTGGATGCCCTGCGAGAAGGCCCACAAGAACAGGCACTCGGAGGCATCATCATTGGCAATGCCGGCTTGGGCCTTGCAGTAGTGCACCAGGCAACCGAACATGACGGCGAAGGCTGCTGCCAACAGGTTGGGCGAGTAGCGCCCCTGGTAGATGGCCTCCTGGTCACACTTGCTGAAGCCGGCCACAAAAGATCCGGTGGCAAAGGAGAGCATCAGGTGGAAGAACTTGATGCCACCGTTCATGATGAGACGTCCGGTGTGGCTGGTGTTGCCCGTCTGGTGGGACACGGTCATGCCCATGTCGATGATGGCCAGGGCGTTCACGAAGCCAGACGTGAAGCAGAGAATGTTGGAGATCATGACGAAGCTGCTGTAGTCGGGGCGCTTCTCCGCTGGACCCGCTGCTGCCGGCTGTGCTTGTTCGGTGTACGCAAAGGCACCGCAGGCGATCATCAGCGCCAAAGAAACGAACAGGGCGTGGTCGGCGATGGTCCTGGCCATGCCGGATGACTCCTGTACGACTGGTTCGCTGAAGGCATGCTGGCTTTGGAAGCTCCACAGCGCGCAGACGCCAAGTGCCAGGAGCGCAGCACCGCGCACGCGGCTGCTCCTGGCACGGGTGCTCAACATGGCCGGCATGATGGAGGCTCGACGCCGCCTGCGGGCTGCAAAGGGGAAACAGCGAGCAAAATGCTGCGGATCATCGGCACAGCGGGAATCCGAACAGCAATCTCGACTCTAAGAGATGTGTTGGACGAGTCACAAGTCACAAGTCAGTATAACGACGCAGCAGTGTGCGCATTTTATCGTCGGCTGCTTTCGAAGCGCAACTGGGACGCCGAACACGTGGCATACCACGCGAGGCTGCAACTGGGGGAGAGTGGGGCGATGGAGTACATGACTGCGGGTCTATCGGGGATTGTGGGACTGAACACAAGTCTTGGAAGGCCTGCAAGACACCGATGGCTTCCGAAAAGTTTCGGGAAACCGTCGAAGCCGAATTATTGTCGTTTGGACGAAAACGTTCGGCTCAGCCGTCATACTCGCCTTCCTCTTCGTCGAACTCTCCCTCCTCTTCGGCGGTGGCATCCTGGTACTGCTGGTACTCAGAAACCAAGTCATTCATGTTGGACTCAGCCTCCGTGAACTCCATCTCGTCCATGCCTCGGGCTGCGTCTGCAACTAACAATTAAGAAGCGGAGCCCTCGCAACTCCCTCCTTGCTCCACCTGCTAGGCTGATAGCACTAGTTGCGCTCATTACGCGCGCCTTCACCGGTGTACCAGTGCAGGAAGGCCTTGCGGCGGAACATGGCCGTGAAGTACTCCGCGACGCGCTTGAACATTTCCTGAATAGCTGTGGAGTTGCCGGCGAAAGCCACGGCCATCTTCAATCCCTTCACAGGGAGACGGCATGCCATCTGATACCGTCCCGGCCATACTCCAAGCAAACAACGAAACACCTACCTTGAGGATTGAAGTCTACAAAAACAAACTTTCCCATCACAGCTGCGCCTTTGGTGGGATGTCGCAGACGGATGCCTTGATGTTGTTGGGAATCCACTCCTTAGAAGCAGCATAGTAGAGAAGAAGAGCATGCATACAGACAGCACCACCCAATCTTCGAAACTGTCTCTGCTTGAACCCCCTTGGCCCTACTAGTAGGTGGCACTTTCACAGAGAGTTCGATACCAGCCTAAGTTTAAGACCAATGTCATCACTTTTCTCCCCGACGCGTGCTGCAAATCTTCCCGGATTCTTAAACTCGCGAACGCCACTTACTCGGCTCCAGCAACATGAGAAGCTACCTGGCTCAGTCAACCAAACATGCACGGCATTATAAGAAGGAAGACATCCGAACGAGGCAGGCGAGACTCCACAAAGTAGGAAGAGTTCTTGTTTTGGACGTTGAGCATCTGTTCATCCACCTGCAAGGTATGAATCTTGGGCAAGATGACAAGTACACATGTGTGTGGAGCACGAGAACGTCGGTCTTCACCCCGCATTACACTTGCATGTGCAGAACCATGCATGCAGACTTGAAAGCGTAGTGTGGCCTCTTTCGTGGACATTCGGCCACGGAAGAGTGCGGCGGCTGTCAAGTATCGCCCGTGTCGAGGGTCTGCCGCGCACATCATGTTCTTGGCATCGAACCTAGATCAACGTCACATGATCATGTGGACCCTAGCTCGTAACGACATCACAAAGCTCCGCAAACCGCAACCGGGGAGCATTTGCTGCGTCAACTCCGGCACGGTCAGGGCGCGGTACTGCTGGGATCCGCGGGATGTCAGAGGCGCAAAGCCAGTCATGAAGAAATGCAGACGTGGGAAAGGCACGAGGTTGACGGCAATCTTGCGCAGATCACAATTGAGCTGCCCTGGAAATCGCAAGCAGCAAGTCACGCCGCTCATTGCCGCGGAGACCAGGTGGTTCAGGTCTCCATAGGTGGGAGTCGTCAACTTCAAGGTCCTGAAAATTTTGGGGAAGGAAGCAGTAACCCCGATGAGTTTCAGGCAGGCATGGAACTATGAACTACGTAGAAATGGCTCCCTTCCTACGGACGGGCACGGCCGTGGCAACGTGTGGCAACCTTGTAACCCCCCCTGCTCAAACATCACAATTAGTCCTGAAGCAAATGTCGTACAATGCTTCATTGTCCAACAAGAAGGACTCGTCAGAGTTCTCCACCAGCTGGTGGAAGCTTAGGACAGCATTGTATGGCTCCACGACAGTATCGGACACCTTGGGCGACGGAATCACGGAGAATGTCTCCATGATCCGATCAGGGTACCTGCAGATGACAGCTGCTGAAACGGCATCTGTGATGTTATGCGCTGCTCGCTTCCCCGGCCTACTGCTGCTCCGCATAGCCCGAAGTATGTATGTACGTATGTATGTAAAAGACACAGACCAAATACATATCTAGAAGATATCCGTAAACCTACATATTAATGTAAATGTACGGTTAGTTACACCTACACACATGAGTATACACACATATATATATATGTATGTATGTATATATATATATATATGTGTGTGTGGGTGTACACTTTTGCATGCAGGCTTCTGTTTATTTCCTGTAATTACGTGTGTAGTTTATATTCCCCAACTATTTCATGTTAAGGCTCAATATGCTTAAAATAGCCATCCGCTGGGAACTCTTCATGCGAGGCACTCCTCGCGCACCTTGGAGATCAAGAGTGTGCCCATACCAGCTCCTCACCCACTCAAGGCAAAACATGCCGAAACACTACACTGTTTCGGGCTTGGGCTTAAGATGGCTAAGGTTTTTAAAGGCTTCAGGGTCCCGAACCCTTTAAGCTCTTATCCGTTCACCCTGCACAAGCCAGCTCCTGTGCCGCCTCCCAGAGAGTGGCAGAGCTGGAAGCCCTGGAGGCAATCGCAGCCTTCAGCCTCGCGAAGAAGGCTGCACGAAAGCTGTTTGATAGGGTCTCAGATAAGGTCTTCTAGACTTCATAAGGTCTTCAGAAGGGTACTCATAGAGTTTCTATGTAGATCCCTGATCAATAACCCTGCTTCCCGTAGGAAAAGCGAAGGTAACGTGGATCAGATTATCAATTCCCGTGTTGGTCTACTGCACGCATGCGTACACGTAGCTGATCCTCTGCATTTCATACAACCCAACGTTGACTATATACATATTTGAAAACAAAATATGCATAAGCACTGTCATCCATGGCCTCTTTGCGCACCACATCCAAGACAGAGTCGATAAGCTCAGCACCCTCGGTGTAATGGCCCTGTCAAGCGGAGGCAGCAACGTTCCCAAGTCTCTCATCATGAGCTGTTTCATCTGGCAACAACATCGCAGTGCGCCTTGGCCCAGTTATTGCCGGCGCCTGTTTGACCGAACACAAAGTTGTCTGGGCGGAACAACTGGCCGAATGGTCCGGCACGAACGCTGTCCATGGTTCCTTTCGGGACGAACGGCGAGTCGACACATGGACATGCGGCTGGCGGCTGGCGTGGCGCACATCTTGGCTATACTTCACCCGAAAGCTGAAACTGTCCCATTAGAGTCCTGGCTCAAGGTCCATCAGAATGGCTCGGGGTACATAGCGTCCGCCAGTGGCTTCGTTGAAGTAGACATTGATCCGCTCCAGCTGAAGATCCGAATCTCCGTGGTAGGTACCTGTCACAGTAGGCTCCGTCGCATGATGTCTTGTTGACCATATCTACGCAGATGAACTGCCTGTTGGGTCGATGCCGTGCTCATCGGCGATGACTTCCCAGAACTTCGCACCAATCTGATTGCCGCACTGGCCTCCCTAAGTTTGACTGACAGCAACAGATATGCTTTCGACTGGACGCATCAACGACAATCGCCCATCCCCGGACGGATTAAAAGCTCATGACTGCAACAAAGCGGCCTGCACGTGCACGAGCTCACGCATGGTAGGAATGCGGAATCGGGAGTTCGAAAGAAATGTCGAGAGGCTGCTGCTTACAGCTGAACACCTTGAGCCAGGCATGGTAAGCAACCCGACATTGCGACAACCGATGCACTCTCAGGAACGTGCAAGCAGTGGTGGCAAAGACAAGAGAGACCATGGTGGCGATCGCGCCCGTGCATCTTTCGGAGTACTCGGCGTAGTCTGGAGGTTGCAGTGTCTCTGGTCCGACCCTGTGCGGACCCTGTGAGCCTCAGCTCAACCTGAATTCGACGCCATCTTAAAGCTACTGGCAACTGCAAGGGGGCACCGCGGCCTCAGCAAGGCTCACAGTCTGCCACTGCCGTCTCTCTGCGATGACAGGCGGATGATGGCATAATTGTGTACGGAATTTAAACGTGGCCACCGCCGTCCGAGACCTTCAAAGCGGCACAGGAGGTCGGCGCCAGCCAAAGGGAAAACTGTCACTGTAGCGGCCTTCGCCGCTACTTACACTACTTCCTACAGCTTTGCTCTTCTCAAGCAGCTTTATTTCCCACCCTTCACGACAGGGACGAGGCCACCGGCCACCGCCGCCATGATGGCCGCGGGGATCAATGCTGCCTGTGCGCCCCACGCAGGGTGCGTCTCCATGGCCGCCACGCCACCCAGGCCGAAGAAGAAGATGCCGGAGCCGAAGAGGAAGACCTTCAGCAGGGTGGGCGGCTCGGCACCGTCCGTCTGCGCCCTGGCCCACAAGCCGAGGCCCACACCGAAGTCGGTCAAATAGCCGGTGAAGTGCGTCGTGCAAACGGGAAGGGAGCTGCATCGACGAGTGATGCCATTCTGGATGCCCTGCGAGAAGGCCCACAAGAACAGGCACTCGGAGGCATCACCATTGGCAATGCCAGCTTGGGCCTTGCAGTAGTGCACCAGGCAACCGAACATGACGGCGAAGGCTGCTGCCAACAGGTTGGGCGAGTAGCGCCCCTGGTAGATGGCCTCCTGGTCACACTTGCTGATGCCGGCCACAAAAGATCCGGTGGCAAAGGAGAGCATCAGGTGGAAGAACTTGATGCCACCGTTCATGATGAGACGTCCGGTGTGGCTGGTGTTGCCGTCTGGTGGGACACGGTCATGCCCATGTCGATGATGGCCAGGGCGTTCACGAAGCCAGACGTGAAGCAGAGAATGTTGGAGATCATGACGAAGCTGCTGTAGTCGGGGCGCTTCTCCGCTGGACCCGCTGCTGCCGGCTGTGCTTGTTCGGTGTACGCAAAGGCACCGCAGGCGATCATCAGCGCCAAAGAAACGAACAGGGCGTGGTCGGCGATGGTCCTGGCCATGCCGGATGACTCCTGTACGACTGGTTCGCTGAAGGCATGCTGGCTTTGGAAGCTCCACAGCGCGCAGACGCCAAGTGCCAGGAGCGCAGCGCCGCGCACGCGGCTGCTCCTGGCACGGGTGCTCAACATGGCCGGCATGATGGAGGCTCGACGCCGCCTGCGGGCTGCAAAGGGGAAACAGCGAGCAAAATGCTGCGGATCATCGGCACAGCGGGAATCCGAACAGCAATCTCGACTCTAAGAGATGTGTTGGACGAGTCACAAGTCACAAGTCAGTATAACGACGCAGCAGTGTGCGCATTTTATCGTCGGCTGCTTTCGAAGCGCAACTGGGACGCCGAACACGTGGCATACCACGCGAGGCTGCAACTGGGGGAGAGTGGGGCGATGGAGTACATGACTGCGGGTCTATCCGGGATTTTGGGACTGAACACAAGTCTTGGAAGGCCTGCAAGACACCGATGGCTTCCGAAAAGTTTTGGGAAACCGTCGAAGCCGAATTATTGTCGCTTGGACGAAGAGGTTCGGCTCAGCCGTCATACTCGCCTTCCTCTTCGTCGAACTCTCCCTCCTCTTCGGCGGTGGCATCCTGGTACTGCTGGTACTCAGAAACCAAGTCATTCATGTTGGACTCAGCCTCCGTGAACTCCATCTCGTCCATGCCTGGGGCTGCATCTGCAACTATAAGGATCAAGAACCGGAGACCTCGCAATTCCATCCTTGCTCCACCCCGCTACGAGTAGGCTGATAGCACTAGTTTCCGCTGATGACGCGCGCCTTCACCGGTGTACCAGTGCAGGAAGGCCTTGCGGCGGAACATGGCCGTGAAGTACTCCGCGACGCGCTTGAACATTTCCTGAATAGCTGTGGAGTTGCCGGCGAAAGCCACGGCCATCTTCAATCCCTTCACAGGGAGACCGCATGGCATCTGATACCGTCCCGGCCATACTCCAAGCAAACAACGAAACACCTACCTTGAGGATTGAAGTCTACACAAACAAACTTTCCCATCACAACTGCGCCTTCGGTGGGATGTCGCAGACGGATGCCTTGATGTTGTTGGGAATCCACTCCTTAGAAGCAGCATAGTAGAGAAGAAGAGCATGCATACAGACAGCACCGCCCAATCTTCGAAGGCTCCGCACGTGAACTCCTCACTCCCTCCGGTAAACTGTCTCTGCTTGAACCCCCTTGGCCCTACTAGTAGGTGGCACTTTCACAGAGAGTTCGATACCAGCCTAAGTTTAAGACCAATGTCATCATTTTTCTCCCCGACGCGTGTTGCAAATCTTCCCGGACTCTTAAACTCGCGAACGCCACCTACTCGGCTCCGGCAACATGAGAAGCTACCTGGCTCAGTCAACCAAACAGGCACGGCATGATAAGAAGGAAGACGTCCGAACGAGGCAGGCGAGACTCGACAAAGTAGGATGAGTTCTTGTTTTGGACGTTGAGCATCTGCTCATCCACCTGAAGGTATGATTGTAGGGCAAGATGACAAAGTCTTCACCCCATCATGAATCTTGGGCAAGATGACAAGTACACATGCGTGTGGAGCAGGAGAACGTCGGTCTTCACCCCGCATTACACTTGCATATGCAGAACCATGCATGCAGACTTGAAAGCGTAGTGGGGCCTCTTTCGTGGACATTCGGCCGCGGAAGAGTGCGGCGGCTGTCAAGTATCGCCCGTGTCGAGGGTCTGCCGCGCACATCATGTTCTTGGCATCGAACCTAGATCAACGTCACATGATCATGTGGACCCTGGCTCGTAACGACATCACAAAGCTCCGCAAACCGCAACCGGGGAGCATTTGCTGCGTCAACTCCGGCACGGTCAGGGCGCGGTACTGCTGGGATCCGCGGGATGTCAGAGGCGCAAAGCCAGTCATGAAGAAATGCAGACGTGGGAAAGGCACGAGGTTGACGGCAATCTTGCGCAGATCACAATTGAGCTGCCCTGGAAATCGCAAGCAGCAAGTCACGCCGCTCATTGCCGCGGAGACCAAGTGGTTCAGGTCTCCATAAGTGGGAGTCGTCAACTTCAAGGTCCTGAAGATTTTGTAGAAGGAAGCAGTAAACCCGATGATTTTCAGGCCGGCATGGAACTAATTGTAACAACGATGTAGAAACGGCTGCCTTCTTACGCAAAGGCACGGCCGTGACAGCATGTGGCAACCTTGTAACCCCCCTGCTCAAACATCAGAATTAGTCCTGAAGCAAATGTCGTACAATGCTTCATTGTCCAACAAGAAGGACTCGTCAGAGTTCTCCACCAGCTGGTGGAAGCTTAGGACAGCATTGTATGGCTCCACGACAGTATCGGACACCTTGGGCGACGGAATCACGGAGAATGTCTCCATGATCCGATCAGGGTACCTGCAGATGACAGCTGCTGCAACGGCATCTGTGATGTTATGCGCTGGTCGCTTCCCCTGCCTACTGCTGCTCCGCATAGCCCGAGGTATGTATGTAAAAGACACAAACCAAATACATATCTAGAGGATATCCGTGAAACCTACATATCAATGTAAATGTACGGTTAGTTGCACATACACACATGTATATATACATATATATATATATATATATATATATATACATATGTGGGTGTACACATTTGCATGCAGGTTTCTGTTTATTTCCTGTAATTACGTGTGTAGTTTATATTACCCAACTATTCCATGTTAAGGCTCAATATGCTTAAAACAGCCATCCGCCGGGAACTCTTCATGCGAGGCACTCCTCACGCACCTTGGAGATCAAGAGTGTGCCCATACCAGCTCCTCACCCACTCAAGGCAAAACATGCCGAACCACTACACTGTTTCGGGCTTGGGCTTAAGATGGCTAAGGTTTTTAAAGGCTTCAGGGTCCCGAACCCTTTAAGCTCTTATCCGTTCACCCTGCACAAGCCAGCTCCTGTGCCGCCTCCCAGAGAGTGGCAGAGCTGGAAGCCCTGGAGGCAATCGCAGCCTTCAGCCTCACGAAGAAGGCTGCACGAAAGCTGTGTGATAGGCTATAGGGTCTCAAATAAGGTTTTCTAGACTTCATAAGGTCTTCAGAAGGGTACTCATAGAGTTTCTACGTAGATCCCTGATCAATAACCCTGCTTCCCGTAGGAAAAGCGAAGGTAACGTGGATCAGATTATCAATTCCCGTGTTGGTCTACTGCACGCATGCGTACACGTAGCTGATCCTCTGCATTTCATACAACCCAACGTTGACTATATACATGTTTGAAAACAAAATATGCGTAAGCACTGTCATCCATGGCCTCTTTGCGCACCACATCCAAGACAGAGTCGATAAGCTCAGCACCCTCGGTGTAATGGCCCTGTCAAGCGGAGGCAGCAACGTTCCCAAGTCTCTCATCATGAGCTGTTTCATCTGGCAACAACATCGCAGTGCGCCTTGGCCCAGTTATTGCCGGCGCCTGTTTGACCGAACACAAAGTTGTCTGGGCGGAACAACTGGCCGAATGGTCCGGCACGAACGCTGTCCATGGTTCCTTTCGGGACGAACGGCGAGTCGACACATGGACATGCGGCTGGCGGCTGGCGTGGCGCACATCTTGGCTATACTTCACCCGAAAGCTGAAACTGTCCCATTAGAGTCCTGGCTCAAGGTCCATCAGAATGGCTCGGGGTACATAGCGTCCGCCAGTGGCTTCGTTGAAGTAGACATTGATCCGCTCCAGCTGAAGATCCGAATCTCCGTGGTAGGTACCTGTCACAGTAGGCTCCGTCGCATGATCTCTTGTTGACAATATCTACGCAGATGAACTGCCTGTTGGGTCGATGCCGTGCTCATCGGCGATGACTTCCCAGAACTTCGCACCAATCTGATTGCCGCACTGGCCTCCCTAAGTTTGACTGACAGCAACAGATATGCTTTCAACTGGACGCATCAACGACAATCGCCCATCCCCGGACGGATTAAAAGCTCATGACTGCAACAAAGCGGCCTGCACGTGCACGAGCTCACGCATGGTAGGAATGCGGAATCGGGAGTTCGAAAGAAATGTCGAGAGGCTGCTGCCTACAGCTGAACACCTTGAGCCAGGCATGGTAAGCAACCCGACATTGCGACAACCGATGCGCTCTCAGGAACGTGCAAGCAGTGGTGGCAAAGACAAGAGAGACTATGGTGGCGATCGCGCCCGTACATCTTTCGGAGTACTCGGCGTGGTCTGGAGGTTGCAGTGTCTCTGGTCCGACCCTGTGCGGACCCTGTGAGCCTCAGCTCAACCTGAATTCGACGCCATCTTAAAGCTACTGGCAACTGCAAGGGGGCACCGCGGCCTCAGCAAGCCTCACAGTCTGCCACTGCCGTCTCTCTGCGATGACAGGCAGGATGATGGCATAATTGTACGGAATTTAAACGTGGCCACCGCCGTCCTAGACCTTCAAAGCGGCACAGGAGGTCGGCGCCAGCCAAGGGGAAAACTGTCACTGTAGCGGCCTTGGCCGCTACTTACACTACTTCCTACAGCTTTGCTCTTCTCAAGCAGCTTTCCCACCCTTCACGACAGGGACGAGGCCACCGGCCACCGCCGCCATGATGGCCGCGGGGATCAGTGCTGCCTGTGCGCCCCATGCAGGGTGCGTCTCCATGGCCGCCACGCCACCAAGACCGAAGAAGAAGATGCCGGAGCCGAAGAGGAAGACCTTCAGCAGGGTGGGCGGCTCGGCACCGTCCGTCTGCGCCCGGGCCCACAAGCCCAGGCCCACACCGAAGTCGGTCAAATAGCCGGTGAAGTGCGTCGTGCAAACGGGAAGGGAGCTGCATCGACGAGTGATGCCATTCTGGATGCCCTGCGAGAAGGCCCACAAGAACAGGCACTCGGAGGCATCATCATTGGCAATGCCAGCTTGGGCCTTGCAGTAGTGCACCAGGCAACCGAACATGACGGCGAAGGCTGCTGCCAACAGGTTGGGCGAGTAGCGCCCCTGGTAGATGGCCTCCTGGTCACACTTGCTGAAGCCGGCCACAAAAGATCCGGTGGCAAAGGAGAGCATCAGGTGGAAGAACTTGATGCCACCGTTCATGATGAGACGTCCGGTGTGGCTGGTGTTGCCCGTCTGGTGGGACACGGTCATGCCCATGTCGATGATGGCCAGGGCGTTCACGAAGCCAGACGTGAAGCAGAGAATGTTGGAGATCATGACAAAGCTGCTGTAGTCGGGGCGCTTCTCCGCTGGACCCGCTGCTGCCGGCTGTGCTTGTTCGGTGTACGCAAAGGCACCGCAGGCGATCATCAGCGCCAAAGAAACGAACAGGGCGTGGTCGGCGATGGTCCTGGCCATGCCGGATGACTCCTGTACGACTGGTTCGCTGAAGGCATGCTGGCTTTGGAAGCTCCACAGCGCGCAGACGCCAAGTGCCAGGAGTGCAGCGCCGCGCACGCGGCTGCTCCTGGCACGGGTGCTCAACATGGCCGGCATGATGGAGGCTCGACGCCGCCTGCGGGCTGCAACGGGGAAACAGCGAGCAAAATGCTGCGGATCATCGGCAGAGGGGTTCGACGGACGCAAAGCTCAGACATATAATGTTGCTGTGCATGGGTTCCACCCTTCTGCAGACTGAAACTCCGCAAGCAAGGCGTGACTGCGACAGCTTGGATCAAGTTCCTGCTCCCGGCAGGGCTGGGGCCCATGCTTCGAGGGATCTCCCTGCGAGCTCGTCGCAGAGCTTGCGAATTTGGATCCAAAGGGATACAGAGCTTTGGGGCCTTCAAGGAGCCTCGGCACAAAGGCGATGCAAGCTGCTAACTGCTGCCAGTCCTTCAGGAGGTGTTGTGATATTCAAACATAAGGCGTTACGTGGAGGCCCGTTAACCGTCAGATTGCAGAGGCAATGCCAAATTCAGGAAACCGCCATAAATCGCATGTTGAGATCGGCCTCTGTTGCTGGCCTTTCTCTGAGAGCCTCCTCCAGCGTGCTAGAGTCGCACCTGAGGACGGGGATGGACGGGGTCATTGAACCTTCAACAAACAGCACCCGAGAAGAACCACAGAGTGGGAACCGTGACCCTAAAACAGTATTTCTTGGCAAGGGCTTGCTGCTGTAAGAAGGGATTGGCCCACTCCAACACGAACATCCTCTTTGCCACAAACCCAAAACACCAAATCGTAAACCAATGAGCCCATAAACCCTGTGTTGAGCAGGGACTGCAATGCATTAAGCCCTGAACCCCTTCAGCCAAGCTCCAGACGCCAGCTCTCACGACCCTACAAGCCCTACACCATATACTACACACATCTTGCCTAGACCCCCCCGAAAGAGGAAAAATAATGGCCCAAAACCTATGAAAGGCTATTTTTCTACATGCTTTTGGGGTCCAGGTAAACCCGAATATCGTCTTTCCCAGTTATGCCAGGGGTGGCGCCGGACCAAACCCGGCTTCCACGCGCGCACGTCGGCCAGCTTGTCACTGGCCTTCAGTGGCTTGGAGCATCGGGCCTTTTATGGCTTCAAGCGTTAGCGCTGCGGCATTTAAACGTTGTAGGCCATAGATTTCGAAACCATGTTAAAGGCAGGATGTGGAGTTGTGTTCATGTTTGTCTCAAGGGGGTAAGGTCTTAGGGTTTTGACGCACTCAGGCATTTGGACTTTCACACCTCTTGCAAAACCGCTTCATCGCAGGTTGTTTCTTGATTGCGGAACTATCGACTCGAACACATGGTTGAAACCAAAAAATGCTACGACGAGTTGTGTGGGTCATCATTGGCATCGGCTGTGCCCACACCTCCTGTCTTACTATATGACCACAATGCAACTCCGACTTCTCGTCTGTCTCAGGTTTAGCGCTCGTCTTATAGAGTCCGACCTCGGATCCCACACCAAGCAATCTCTGGGCCATCCTACGTACTTCTTCCTATACCCCCCCTAGAACCATAATGACAACATTATTTTTAATATTCTCTTGGTGGTTTTATATGAACAAAAATGAAAAAAACATCCTAAGGATACTACAGGTTCGTGACAGAGTCCTGAACCTGTTATGCTGAACAGCCCTCCCTCCAGAGTTCTTGCAAGGTGCAGCTCCCTGCCGATGGGCCTCACCTTCTGCTGCTGTCCTGCGAAGGTCTGGGGACATTCAGATGCGATTTCTGAAGTAAAGGGAACTCCAGAAAGTTGGAATATGGTTTCAGGGTAGGATACCCTATAATTTACCATAGAAGGGTTAAGATAATCATATTCCAACTTTCTGGCTTTTACCTTAGGGGCATCTGAAGGATCCTACTACTTATTGTCGACGGCTTCTGCGTTCGGGCTCCTCGTTTGCTGAAGCTCCCGTGGAGGATCTTGCTTACGTTTTGGGCAGGGTTTTGCGGACTTTCGCACGGGCATGCAGGAATACATAAAATGTGTCAACAGTGTGCATATACACATATGTATAAAATCATACACACATATACAGACGTATATACATACCAGTATGGCAGTTAATATCATCCTGTATACGTGTTCCACATACATATGCATGCACCGTCCCGGGCGATAGTGGTACTGGCCGTGCTGCGGTCACTGATACTATTTCGCTGTTCTTGTGTGGGCTGCTGACACCCCTGCTGCCATTGCGGCGATATCTAAGATCGCTATCATGGACAGCATAGCAGCATTTCCAAACGATTGTTGTGACTGCCATTGAATCTTACAGCACCTGTTGCGGCAGGGCCTCGAATTCCTGCTTTCATGTCGTGTTGTGGATGCGGCAGCGAGGTGCCAACGAGATGGGGTGATTCTGAAAAAATAGTGTTCCGATACGGCCTGCCCCAAGTACGCCCTCGGACATTGCCGATGCAACAAGGGCACGAAAAGCCTGAACGCGAAGATGCGCACTGCACATGAAATCCGTTCAGGTCTTCCGCAATCCTGCCATATCCCACCTGGACTGTGAGAAACCTCAGGTCTGAACCTAAAACGTCAAGACCCCTAGCCCTAGGCCCCAGCCCACAAAGCTAATTCATGGTTGGGAGAGGATTAAAAATGTACATTTTTATTCCTTGTACCCATAAAAATGTAAAATGTACCCAACTGTGACAAAGAAAGGTCCCACATCCATGCGCCTGGCCTAAACGGAATTTGGCGCAGCTTCGTCCGCATAGGGCTCTTCTCAAGGGTTGCGGCCTGCGAAGCGGGGCCATGCGACGGATTGACGCGACTGCATGCGCTACAACAAGAACAACGACCGTATTGCTGTTCACAACAATCACCAAGCACCTGCAGCACCCCGAGCAGCAGCAGCAGCAGGAGCAGAAGCAGAAGCAGCAACAGCAGAAAGAACAGCAAACAAAAGCAACAGCAACGATTCCAAGCAGACCTAATGCAACAAAGCCAAGTTGCCTCCTCCGACAACCTTGAGCAGTCAAACCTGCGCAGGGCATGTGCGTGCTCCGCATGATGTTCCAAAAACGGGCTTCGGGTTTAAGCTGCTGAGTTTGATCATCCTTCTGCGACTGTTGTTGAATCTTTCGTCGCAGGAACGAGGAAGATATCG